CAATACATAGTCAATACCAAATCACTATACTAGACCATAGTGCAATTACTAGTGAGAGACTGGTGTTTTTTTTTTAATTTGTATTTTTATATTATTAAATTAAAATTCAGTTGTACCATAGCTCATTCACCTCAAGACATAGTCAATACCAAATTCCACTATATTAGACCATAGTGCAATTACTAGTGGAGAGACTAGTGCTATTTTTAATTTGTACTTTTATATTATTAGATTAAACCTATTGTACTTTAGCTCACTCTAGCTAAAAACGACTCCACAAAAGTCATTATTAGACCTTAGTGCAATACAAGTGAGAGTCTTGTTCATTTTTAAATTTGTATTTTTATATTATAGTTTATACCCAGTTGTACTTTTAGTTCATTCCCGCACAAACATAGACAACATCAACTTCATTATGTGTAGTAGTGACTATACCCTACATGGGCCAAATACTCTAGCTATATAATTGTCCAAAAATTCCTACCACTACAGATATCAGTAATTGAGAACTCAACCCCACAACCAGGATATAAATAACCTAATTTAAACCTAGAAGATGATTGTCACGTTGACCCTGATCTAAAACCTCCATAATCTGACACCCCAAACAAAAACCCATTGGAAAGTAACTTCCTTTATTACACAGCATCACAAGCCACCACTATCCTAAACAATGCTAAAAGTCTATCAGTACTAACTACAACATCAGGTCCTTAAGCAAAAACTATGATGACCTCCCAGCACTCCTTGAATCACTAAAGACACCCTTCTCCTGCATTATTCTTACTGAGACCGGCTTAAGCAGGACACAATAGATATCTACCCTCTACCAGTATACACAGCAATTACAACTGCAGAACAAATCAAGTTGGGGGGGGTATTGCAATCTATTACTCTAACCAATTATCTTGTCTTAGCACCACTTGCTTTAGTGATGATATGGGGAATACATTTTTTCTAATTTTACTGTAAAAAACCTTAAGGGCCTATAAAAAATCGGTGCCATTTACCGGATACCTCACACAAACATCCCTAATTTCAGTGAGAAATTAAGTCACTAATAACAAACAGACAAATGAATAAGCACCACCTTCTCTTACTGGAGACTTCAACATCAACCTTGGCTTACTAATGATCAGCCTGTAACTGATTTCATCAACAATATGAACAACACACTTCTCCCTACCAACAATAACTAAACCCAAACCCGCTCACTGAGACAAGTGCAACCAAAAATAGACCATATGGACCCCAAAATACTAGCCCCCCTTAAATCAGGGGTAATCACAGATAAACACTACAGACCAATACCCTACCTTCCTCCTGACAAACTTTTGTAAACCACCACTTGAATACAACAAAGTCTCATTTAGACTCCCTGACGAGGCCTCAGTAAGGAAGTTCACAGCTGACCTAGAGACTGTTGATTGGCCCACAGAATTCTCCAAGGCCAAAGGTATTGATGATGGACAGGACATTTTTCTTAACAAATTACTTAGACTATCAACAAACATTGTCCTATAAAAACAAAACAGATCACAAACAAACGGCTTGGTTGCCCCTGGCTAACCAGCACCATTCTGAAATCCATTGACAAGAAACACCAATATGAAAAGCAATATAGACAGGGCTTAATACACAAAGATACCTTAAACACTATTCATCAGCTCTCACCAAAGTAATAAAAAGCCAAACAACTATACTACTCCAGTAGATTCACAGACACTAGAGGAGATATAAAAAAGACCTGGAAAACACTTCTCTCAGATTCTAGGGACCCACCAAACTGAGAAAAAAACCCGAATATTTTCCTAACTAAACCTAATGAAACACCCCTACATCCCATGACACAGCTAACAAGATAAACGACTTTTCTCAAAAATAGGATCTAATCTCGCCAGTAAAATTCCCCATACCAATGCCAATGCCGGGGACTACCTAGATGGAAATTTCCCTAAATTTCCCTTCTATCTTGCACCAACTGAGCCCACGGAAGTCATTGAGGGTCATAAAGTCAATTAAAAATAACTCGGGGAATCTGTCTCATGTCCCACCATTACTGTACAAAGCGAGCGGGGCCCATGTCCTTTCGCATGCTATTTCATTACTTTTTAAACAAGTCAATAGAGACTAGCACCTTCCCGAAACTACTCAAGATGGCAAGGGTTTCACCAATACTAAAGGTGGTGACCCTACAGACTTAAACAACTATAGGCCAATATCTACTTACCATTGCTATCCAAAATCTTTTAGAAACTCGTGCACAGGAGACTGTATTCATTTATAACGGCTCAAAACATACTCAACCCCTGCCAGTTTGGATTCAGGAAAAATAAAAGCACTAATGATGCAATCATAAAAATGCTAGATCTGCTTTACACAGCATGGACAATAAGGAATATCCACTAGGAATTTTTATGACCTAAGAAAAGCTTTTGACACAGTAAACCACGACATCCTACTCCACAAACTTGATCACTACGGTATAAGAGGCCAATGCGCTTGCTTATTTCAAATCTTACATTACTAATAGTATCAGTACGTCACCATTAAAGACACAGCATCAGCAACACGGCCACTCGATACTGGAGTTCCGCGGGGAAAAGTGTCCTTGGTCCCGCTCTTCCTCATATACATAAAATGACCTTTCCAAACGTATCCCAACACCTGAAACCCATTCCTTTGCTGATGACACGACATATGTCATCTCTCACCCAATCTCCCAACCCTCAACACCATTGTGAATGAGGAGCTGATTAAAATATGGGACTTGGATGACACCCAATAAACTTACGCTTAACACTGAAAAAAACCTACAATATTATGGTTTGGTAGCAGAGCAGGAGATGCACAAATTAACATTAAGATTGACAACACACTAATTCCCAGAAATAATGGGGGAAAAATTCCTAGGCTTATACCCTTGACAACAACCTGAATTTCAGCACCCATATCCAGCATATAGCCAAAAAAGTATCCAAAACGGTTTGGGGATCCTCTCCAAATACGATACTACGTGCCGCAAAATGCCCTTCTCACACTATACCACTCACTTATTTATCCATACCTCACCTATGCTATTTGTGCTTGGGGATCAACTGCAGCAACACACCCTAAAGCCAATAATAACCCAACAAAAAGCTGCAGTAAGAATAATCACTAAATCCCATCCCTGGCAACACACCCCCCCACTCTTCATAGATCTAAACTTACTCCCCGTTCAGTACATCCACACTTACTACTGTGCAATCTATATCTACAGGGCCTTAAACTCTAATATCAACCTTGACCTAAAACGCTTTCTTGATATTGTGACAGAACCCACAGGCATAACACCAAACACAAACATCTCTACGACATTCCCGTGTCCGATAAACCTTTACAAAAATTCAATGTATGTCAAAGGCCCTAAAATCTGGAATACCCTACCCGAGAACTCTAGAACTGCAGACACATTCATCACCTTCAAAACTACCATTAGAAAACATCTTATCTCCCTGATACACCCCGTCAACTAACTACACGAAAACCACCTGGTGGTTTTACACTTACACTCACTCACTCATTTGACCATAAAAAGAAATATTAATCTCAGTCTTAAAATAATGAATCCTGTGATACTCCAATACTGAAACTATGTACTGTGCCAAAACAAAAGCATTCACATTGCTAAACTCACAAACTAGTATTTAGTCACTTACCCATAATACCAACTTACCTCATAATTTGTAATATTTTACAATTAAGAATAAAACTAAGTATGCCCGAAATGCCTAGCCATGCTAAGCGTTCTAGTGGTACACTCTGTAATCACAATTTTACTACATGTAAACCAAACAATAACCAAATTTCTGTAAACTCAGCATTGTAATCCTTATAGAGAATAAACTTTGAATGTCCGCCACAGGTACTCCACGAGACATTTGAAGAATTGGAATGAAGCATAATTCGTCCTCTCGGAACAAGTAGATGCCGATGATGTTTAGAAGCCTCGCTAATCACTGGCACAGACACTGACAACATAGAATATAATACAAGAAGCCGCAGTATTTCAAAAAACATTGATATATATGATTCTCCACCAGGCAGAGCACCACACGACCTCATTGTCCACCTGATCTCATCTCAAATATGTCATTTTTCAGAAAGGTCACTATGTGTCACACACACCCCACTCTCAGCCTATCTATATACTTCTATTTTTCAACTGTGTATGCTAGTAAGTGACCAAGGTCTCAGGACCGAAACATTCTCTAATCTGTTTGCTCACGTGTCTAACTTATTTTTTTAATTGTGAAAATTATTTAATGGTGTTCAGTCAAAGAAATGTCCCCTAACACATGTCTGTCATAGAATGACTCATTAAGTGGACAAGCCTTCTCTGGCTTACCCCCAGAAAAGTTTTCCTTGGCTTACCCCCAGCAAAGCTTTCCCTGGCTTACCCCCAGCAAAGCTTTCCCTGGCTTACCCCCAGCAAAGCTTTCCCTGGCTTACCCCCAGCAAAGCTTTCCCTGGCTTACCCCAGGCAAAGCTTTCCATGGCTTACCCCCAGCAAAGCTTTCCCTGGCTTACCCCCACCGAAGTTTTCACTGGCTTACCCCCAGCAAAGTTTTCCCTGGCTTACCCCCACCCAAGTTTTCCCTGGCATACCACAGCTAAATTTTCCCTGGCTTACCCCAGCTAAATTTTTCCTGGCTTACCCCCCAGCAAAGTTTTCCCTGACTTACCCCCAGCAAAGTTTTCCCTGGCTTACCCCAGCTAAGTTTTCCCCAGCTTACCCCCAGCAAAGCTTTCCCTGGCTTTCTCCCAGCAAAGTTTTCCCTGGCTTACCCCAGCTAAATTTTCCCTGGCTTACCCCAGCTAAATTTTCCCTGGCTTACCCCAGCTAAGTTTTCCCTGTCTTACTCCAAGCAAAGTTTTCCCTGTCTTACCCCCAGCAAAGTTTTCCCTGGCTTACCCCCAGCAAAGTTTTCCCTGGCTTGCCCCAGCAAGTTTTCCCTGGCTTGCCCCAGCAAAGTTTTCCCTGGCTTACCCCCAGCAAAGTTTTCCCTGGCTTACCCCCAGCAAAGTTTTCCCTGGCTTACCCCCAGCAAAGTTTTCCCTGGCTTACCCCCAGCAAAGTTTTCAAAGGATTACACCCATAGCAAAGTTTTCCCTGGCTTACTCCAGCTAAGTTTCCCCTGGCTTACTCCCAGCAAAGTTTTCCCTGGCTTACCCCCAGCAAAGTTTTCCCTGGCTTACCCCCAGCAAAGTTTTCCCTGTCTTACTCCAGCAAAGGTTTCCCTGTCTTACTCCAAGCAAAGTTTGCCCTGGCTTACTCTCAGCAAAGTTTTCCCTGGCTTACTCCAGCTAAGTTTTCCCTGGCTTACTCCCAGCAAAGTTTTCCCTGGCTTACCCCCAGCAAAGTTTTCCCTGTCTTACTCCAGCAAAGGTTTCCCTGTCTTACTCCAAGCAAAGTTTGCCCTGGTTTACTCTCAGCAAAGTTTTCCTTGGCTTACTCCAGCTAAGTTTTCCCTGGCTTACCCCAGCGAGTATTACATAAATAGCTGATGGCTCACTGTGTAGGTACATTTTAGTGCCGCGTCACGACCCACGTCATGTGATGTTTGTGAGATGGTACAATGTCATATATTGTTGGAACTGTCAAGTGTGTCCTGTGATAAGCCTGCATAAGGGGCATAATAGTTTTAGAGTAAGTTTTATTGTGAGATCTATACATATCAGTATATTCTATACATGTCTGAAGCTTAGCTAAGACAGACTTGAGAAGTGTTTGTGTGTTTTATTGCAAGTATATTTACTATATTATAAAACCTTGCATTGTTAAAGTGTCGTTGTATGATGATAAAGGTGAGAAGCTTCTGGAATTCTCTCTTGCGTACAGTTGTTGATCTCATGACCATCACATGTTTATGCGTCTCAATACACAGGCGCCTCACGTCAACACCTCAAATAAGGCGTAATGTTACGCTGGCGTTATGTCTGTTCTCCTGGTATTATGGCGTCATCAAGTATCGCAATAAATTATAGTCGAATCACAGTGACGTCACGATTGTCGTCCCTTCCCCCCCCCATTCCTCATTTCAGGTGGAGGGATGCAGTGAGGAAGAAAGTGAAGATGGCTTACTAGCAAATAATTATATTCTTAATTTTATAGTTGTGCACGGGTAAGCTAGTGGAAGGCCTCGGTCAGATTACCAAAAGCTCCAGTGGCAAGTTATCATATGACTAACACCTACGTCAAGAAACATTTGTCCTATTTTTTGACTGAATGTTACTTAAGTAGTGTAATCTGTTGTGTCATCACTGGTGACTCTTTACCATTCAGAGTTACCTATTTACTCCTGCACAGTAGTACTGTAACTAAATGTCCTCTGACGTGTGTTTTAGAGTGCTCGGTTGATTATTCTAAGACTCGGTTGCCTACCACACAGATTACCATGGCTGGGGATTTAGAGAACATGGAGTTGGTGATGCTGACTCCTGAAGACTTTGAGGAGGTGGCTGAACTATTTAAGCATCACTTTCTCAAGAAGAACCCACTTGTAAGTCTCTTTTCTTTCTGGTATATATTTTTCTAATGTTTATGCTGCAATTATATAAATAATTTTGATTTTAAAGCATTAAGATCTTCCATAACAAAGAAAGACTTTTGAATTAATTTCAGCGTCATTTGTTAAAAACATCTTCATTCAAATTTTATGTAGGGAGATTTTATATAAATCTTTTATAGTTCATCGCGGCCAACGAAACGCATTATGAGGGGTCCAGTGTCAGTGTAATAAAATTAAGTCTGGATTCTGGCTTTTCTCTCGGCGTCAGAGAGAAGACAAACAAAAAGCTGGTTGGCGTCAGATTAACTACTGTAAAAAAATGTGGATCAACTACGCAAAAATGGTACAGATGAACTGGTAAGGAAACTGCTATATATTTTACCGATTACTTAACATTTTAACGTTGCGTCAATTTAATCTTACTTGAAATTCTTAAAATGATGTTATAAAAATCTCAGGTGTATGACTGCTTGTGTAAGATTTCGTGTCAGATACTAATAAGATGGTGTTACTCAGTGCAAAGAGAGTGTTGCGCTCCGCATCCTGGCCATGATTGATGCTGATGCAGCTATGTTCCCAGATGGCACATGCTTCCTCTACTTACTATTGGTGTGTGTCCACTCAAGCTACTGTGGTCGAGGCATCGCACGCATGATGATCCAGGTAATGAGGCAACAAATGGTAATATAATACCAACAAGCTAGTCTGGTCGAATCATCGCACGCATGATGATCCAGGTAATGAGGCAACAAATGGTAATATAATACCAACAAGCTAGTCTGGTCGAAGCATCGCACGCATGATGATCCAGGTAATGGTGATTTAATGCTAACACATATATAAGACATGAATAACTAGTATGTTTCATTAAGATGTATCGCTAACCAGTGCCTATACCAATCCAGTCATTCTTACATTAATGATCCAGGTAATCGTACTTGACTTGTAAGAGAGGGTAACGGTGCTTCAACGCTAGTGAAGTATTCTTTACCTAAGAGATCTTCATCCAGGTAATTGGACCAAATTTACGATGTCACTGATGTTTTCGTATACATAATCTTTCCACGGAAGGTGCTGGAGATGGGGCGTGAGCGTGGTATAGATGCAGCATGTGTGCAGGTGACCAATACTTTGACTGCTAAGATCTTCACTCGTCTGGGTTTTGAAATTGTTAACTCTCTGGACCTGTCAACCATCGCTGATGAGTTTGGCCTTGACCTCTCACTTATACCACAGGAGGAAACTACCATCAAACTCATGCTCAAACGCTAGAGAGATTGGCTTTGTTAGAAGTTCTCTTGTACTTGCTTTAAGATTATGCTGACCTTCCAGTGTGATCTTTGTCCATTACGTGTGTGTCGTACAGCCTGGAGTTTCACGACTCACTCGCCATGAGTTCAAACTTCACCCGTTCTGTGGTTTGGGAAATGAAAAGTAATCAGGAGTGATGCAAGGAACTATTGGATAGAACTAATTCCATAGAATAAGAACCCTTCACCGGCATCAAATAAATCTCTTCCCGTGAGAAAGGTTCTCACTGGTACGTCGTATTTGTATCAGGATGTATTATCACAATGTTTGTTCTAAATGATATTCCTCGTGAATACTCTTCTTAGGTACCTCTTATTGTTATTAACATTTTTTGTTATTTTTTGTTGCAGCTTTCATTACCATAAAATAAGACGGTTATATATATATAGACCTTCCCCCTTGCTATAACTTCATCCCAATAGGGTCGGAGACCCTTGGAGCATGGGGCAAATGTACTCTAAAGTTCCTCAAAGAGCTGGATGAAAAGCTCATCATAGAAACCAAGGACCACAGGGCGACCAGCTTCCTCTTTCAGAGACTCAGTGTTGCGATCCAGAGAGCAAATGCCTGCAGCATTCTGGGCACGCGGCCCACCGCAGGGGAGCTGGACGAAGTATTCAGATGTAGCTCTGAGTTACCTATGTTGTTTTACTTTCTGTTGTATTTTTGTGAATGTTTGGCCAATGTATTTTGTCTTTAAATAAAACATACTTGAAATATGGGGGTGGTAGGAGAAAATTCTGAAACAGCTTCAGGGAAAACCTTGAGTTTTCCCTGAAGCAAGTTTCTTTTCTCTGAGGATGAGGGTCCCTAGGACAGTTCTTATTATATATATATATATATATATATATATATATAAAATATATATATATATATTATATATATTATATATATATATATTATATATAATATATATATATATATATATATTATATATATATATTGTGGCATTTATGGTTTTGGAAAAGGCGTATGACAGGGTGGATAGGAGGGCAATGTGGCAGATGTTGCAAGTTTTATGGTGTAGGAGGTAGGTTACTGAAAGCAGTGAAGAGTTTTTAGAGGATAGTGAGGCTCAAGTTAGAGTACATAGGAAAGAGAGAATTATTTCCCGTAAAAGTAGGCCTTAGACAGGGTGTGTGATGTCACCGTGGTTGTTTAATATATTTATAGTGGGGTTGTAAGAAAGTAAATGCGAGGGTTTGACAAGAGGGCGTGGAGTTAAAAGATAAGGAATCAAAATTAAAGGGGGGAGTTGTCACAGTTGCTCTTTGCTGATGGGCACTGTGCTCTTGAGAGATTCTGAAGAGAAGTTGCAGAGATTGGTGGATGAATTTGGTAGGGTGTGCAAAGAAGAAAATTAAAGTGGATACAGGAAAGAGTAAGGTTATGAGGATAACAAAAAGATTAGGCGATGAAAGATTGGATATCAGATTGGAGGGAGAGGGGTATGGAGGTGAATGTATTCAGATATTTGGGAGTGGACGTGTCGCGGATGGGTCTATGAAGGATGAGGTGAATCATAGAATTGATGAGGGGGAAAGGGTGAGTGGTGCACTTAGGAGTCTGTGGAGACAAAGAACTTTGTCCTTGGAGGCAAAGAGGGGAATGTATGAGAGTATAGTTTTACCAAACACTTTATATGGGTGTGAAGCATGGGTGATGAATGTTGCAGCGAAAAGGCTGGAGGCAGTGGAGATGTCATGTCTGAGGGCAATGTGTGGTGTGAATTTATAATGCAGAGAATTCGTAGTTTGGAAGTTAGGAGGAGGTGCGGATTTCCCAAAAAACTGTTGTCCAGAGGGCTGAGGAAGGGTTGTTGAGGTGGTTGGGAAACATGTAGAGAGAATGGAGCGAAACAGAATGACTTCAAGAGTGTATCAGTCTTTTAGTAGAAGGAAGGCGGGGTAGGGGTCGGCCTGGGAAAAGGGTTTTGGAGGGAGGGGGGGTAAAGGAGGTTTTGTGTGCGGGGGGGGTTGGACTTCCAGCAGGCGTGCGTGAGCGTGTTTGATAGGAGTGAATGGAGACGAATGGTTTTTAATACTTGACGTGCTGTTGGAGTGTGAGCAAAGAAAACATTTATGAAGGGGTTCGGGGAAAAACCAGCAGGCCGGACTTAAAGCCCTGGAGATGGGAAGTACAGTCCCTGCACTCTGAAGGAGGGGTGTTAATGTTGCAGTTTAAAAACTGTAGTGTAAAGCACCCTTCTGGCAAAGACAGTGATGGAGTGAATGATGGTGAAAGTTTTTTTTTTCGGGCCACCCTGCCTTGGTGGGAATCGGCCAGTGGTGATAATAAAAATATATATATATATATATATATATTATATATTATAATATATTTTATATATATATATATATATAATTATATATATTTATGTGTCACTTTAGCGCTTGATTTACAAAATTTTTCGAAGACAGCTTGTAGATTAAATGAAAGGATGCCGGATATATTTTGACTAATAGTTACAGCAACTAGGACTGGTAAAACTGGTAGCTAGTAGTAATAATAGTAGCAAACTCTGGTGGTAGTAATAAGTGTGCATCAGTTATTATGAAAGTTAATACCAATAACAATTATTTTCATTATATCACTTTATAGTACTATAAATAAAGTTAGCACACTGCAATAAAGTGATTTACTTTATTCCAACTGGCAGTTATTGACTCAATATTGTACATAGTTATGGGTGTTTAAGTTGAAATTAAGACACATGTGCAACATCTGGATATCTTCATTGTAGACGTTTTGCCATCCAGTGGCTTTATCAATACAAATTCCAGGACATAACTTAAAGACAGGAGAACTATGTACAGAAGATGAGGTAATCAGTCCCTCAACCTTGGAGTAGGTGCGAAGAGCACCGTAGTCGAGGAGATTCGGTGTTTATAATTTGTTGATGTTTGGAACACAATCAGCGACTTTGGACTGCCACCACTGTTATACTCGACAGTCGTGTCCCGGCTTGAGAAAGGTGGTAATGATAACCACGTCTGGCTGTTGCAGTTGTCTGATCCGTGCCTGGCTACCGTCAGTTTATCAAGGGTGTAGATCAACGCTTGGGTATCGTAAGTCTATCAAGGGTGTAGATAAACGCTTGGGTATCGTAAGTCTATCAAGGGTGTAGATCAACGCTTGGGTATCGTCAGTCTATCAAGGGTGTAGATCAACGCTTGGGTATCGTCAGTCTATCAAGGGTGTAGATCAACGCTTGGGTATCGTCAGTCTATCAAGGGTGTAGATCAACGCTTGGGTATCGTCAGTCTATCAAGGGTGTAGATCAACGCTTGAGTATCGTCAGTCAAATCCAGAGGTTATTTTCAATCACTATTATTATTATTATTATTAATTCTGTGTGTGGCGACCGATTATGCTGTTTTATGCTGGGTTAAACTTTGCAGATGAGCACCAGAGTTTTGACTCATAATGAAAGTGTTGAACCTGTAAGCCTCAGGAGATAGTGATGGTTGGTGGGTGGTAATGGGTGGTGGTGGAGGTGATGGTGGTGGTATTAATAATAATAATAATAATAATAATAAAAAGCATTAATAATAATAATAATAATAATAATAATAATAATAATAATAATAATAATAATAAAAAGCATTAATAATAATAATAATAATACTAATAATAATAATAATAATAAAGAATGATAAATATATTTATAATTGGCTTAGGATATTTATTAACGAAACGTTTTGCTCACCACAGGTTTCATCGATCCAGTGGACTAAAATAAAAAAAAACTGGTGGGCGAAAGATCTCAAAAAAAAAAAAAAAACGCTCGAATACCGCGTGTAAGTGTTATACTTTACTAACGCTCTGTACGGGGCTACTAAAGTAAGTGGCAATCGCGACGTTCAAGAGGAAGGTCAAGAATGAGAATGACCTGGAGAATATCCTCCCAAAATAAACCAAAGTCACGTGACGTACGATAAAAATCGCATGATGTACCATTCAAAAATCCATGAGAAATCCGGTCGGATCCGCTGCCGTGCTCAGAACGCTCGCCCGTTCGGGGGGGGGGGGATTACACGGGCGATAAATAAGAACGACTTTCGTGTTGCGTTCTGGAGTTTAAAAAAATAAACGCGGATTTCGATGCGATTATGTTGATTGGCGTCTTTGTGTCACCAGTTTTACGAGTGCCCGGGGGTAATATGTGGGAGGGGAGTGGGAGGGAAAAGGGGGGTAGGAGAGAAGGTAAGGAGGAGGAAGAGGGGAGACGGGGAGAGAGGGAAGGGTTAGATAAGAGGAAGAGAGACAAAGGTATGTACACGGTATGACAGAGAGGGCAAGGGAGAGATAAGTGGGTGGGAGTAATGGGGAGGGGGATGGTGTCAGAGAGGAGAGAGAGAGAGAGAGAGAGAGAGAGAGAGAGAGAGAGCAAGCACATATTTTTTCAGCTATCCCAGCACAGATGACCCGGTTAACTCAGGCAGGGATCCCCATATTTACAACTTAAGCTTATTTAGGTGGCAAATTTACAGGATAATCGCCACAACATTAGGGATTTTCCAAAGTCTCCTTCACCGTTACGAAAACTACGACCAATATTACCCAAGAGTGATATCAAGAAAATAAAGTAAGTTGTTTAAAAATTACACGTGAAGTCACAAAGACGAAATTCCTATTAGAACAGACGTGTGTTCAATTAAGACTTTACCTGACAGAACGAATGGTATTGGAAAGGCAAGAAGGGCTAAGAAAAACATCTGTAAGACAGATGTTTGACATCTGTAAGGCAGATGTTTGGCCTATTCGACATGGGTGCATTTTGCCGAATTAGCAGAATGAAAATTTTTTTTTACCGTAAATCAGTAATATATATATATATAACAATGGTTATAAATGACCATAATTTTTAAAGGGGTGGACCTGTAAGCCAGCGGAAGGCCTCGGTCAGATGACCAAAAGCTCCAAAGGTGGGTCATCATCTGACTAAGACCCGCGTCAGGAAACATTTGTCCTGTTTCCTGACGAACCTTACCTAACCTAACCTAACCTAACCTAACCGTAAATCAGTAGAAATCAATCTGAACATAACGAAAAAAAAATTGTATCATTGATTTTAAGTAATATTAAATAAACGCTAATTTAAGTTAGGGTATGATTCTGTAAATGATATTTTTGGAAAATATAATTTTTAAGGGTGTTCGGCCTATTCGGCAAGTTCGAATTATTAGGCGTTCAGGGAGAGTGACCCAGTGGCGACCAATGAAGAGGCGGGGCCAGGAGCTATGACTCGACCCCTGCAATCACAACTAGGCGAGTACACACACACACACACACACACACACACACACACACACCACACGCTTATACATACATGTGTCATGCCGAATAAGCCAAACCGGTGAGTTTGGCCTAAAAAGCAAGGGTGTTTTCTACCGAATAAGCAGAGTAAAAAAATGCCCTTTTTTCAGTAAATGTTCAAAACTCAATCCGGACTTAAGGAAAGAAAATATACGTTAGTGATTCTAAGTAATATTAAATAAATTTAAGCTGAACTATAATGTGCATAGCAGAATTTAGCTGGAAAAAAATACGTAAGATTAAGCTAGGTTTTATGAGGTTTCCAAGTTAGGTGAGGTGAGGTGAGGTGAGGTGAGGTGAGGTGAGGTGAGGTGAGGTGAGGTGAGGTGAGGTGAGGTGAGGTGAGGTGAGGTGAGGTGAGGCGAGGTGAGGTGAGGTTTACAAATTAGATTTGGTTAAAAATATAAACTGTTACATCATTTCCAGTGAAAAAATATGTCTAAGTAATTTTTTAGGTGTAGAGAGAGAAAGAAATGTCCAATTTTTATGGGA